CGGCTTATATATATATATATATATATATATATATGTATATATATTATATGTCTTTCTGTTTCTCTCTCTCGCTCTCTTTCTCCCTCTCGCGCGCTCTCTCTCGCTCTCTTTCTCTCTCTCGCTCTCACGTCACCCGTGATCCCGCTCGTCATACGCCAACAAGCGACGTTTTATCTACCGAGAAAGTCCGTACAGGAAGTTGTGGCGATCACTTGACGAGAAGCGCGTCGGCTGGGTTCACTCTCAGTTCCCCGTCTCTCGCGTTTAACGGCCCGCACCGCCATTAATGTGCAAATCAGTAAAACCCGCCGATCGGCAGCGGCCGCGAGAGTGGGCGGAGTCAAAAGAGCCATCAATTATTTAAATTTCCATGGCAACAAAAGCGCGCAATAGAGACGTCATCAGCGCGCAGATGGAGTACTGAAACCCAACTCTTTACAAAAACTTAAAATCCCAGACAGTATTGAGGGGAGCAAAATGGGCCCGAAGTGGGCGCTTACCATGCCAACAATAGAAAATATTATTATGATAATACTCGATTCAGGGGTAACAGTCTGGGTCAGCGACAAGTTCTTCTAGCTTACATGCAGCATGGGTGCCCACCACCCTAGCCTCCCGCACCCAGCACCCAGACTCCCCACACATACACACTACAGACTGTCAGTGCCAATCGCTTCGGCGAGCAATCGCATTGCTCAAAGGTATACACGAACACTGAAAATGCGGGCGTTTTCGCCCAAATAACATATATATGTGAATGAATGCGTGTGTATTGCAGTTTTTATCGCTGAATGGTCTTTTCTATGGCGGTGCATGAAGGCTGTAGCTGACAGACAGCCCAGCCGCCTCACAAGCGAACATGTCAGGTGCTGCTGACAGCGAAATAGCAACCGCCGTCACCGCGGCCACCCTGAAATAAGCATTTGTTCAAAAAATTTGGCAAATCGGATGTTTTCACAGACCAGGAAATTATTCAGGGAGAAAGAGAGGGGGAGAGAAATCGAGAGAAAGAGAGGGGGAGGGAGAACGAAAGAGAATGACAGAGGGGGAGAGAGAGAGAAGGGGAGCGAGAGAGGGAGAGAGCGGGGGAGAGGGGGAGGGAGCGAGAGAAAAAAGAGAGAGAGAGAGAGAGGCAGTGTGAGTAAAGTGGAGGGAGATCGAGAGCGAGAGAACTTTCTTAAATGTCAGCTACCACACCAAATTCACCTTACCTTACTTCACGCTAGTACCCACCCATACCAATACAAGACACCATACAAGACACCGACACCATACACCATACAAGACCACTACATTTATACGACCGAATCACAATGATAGCCCCTCCTCCAGTTTAACCCCCATCGACCACCCACCCACCGCCGCCGCCGCCACCACGTCTCCCGTCGTATAAAGGCGACAGATATACGGTCTATAAGAAACGCTAGCACCTCTAGCAGCGAACCTATATATATATATATATATATATATATATATATATATATGCAGAACGGCCACGACTCACACGGCAAATAACAAAGATGTGCCCAGCGATATGAGATCAACCCGGTGTGACCCACTACCCTCCCACCCGACCAGACACCCACCCGCCCACCTGACTTCGTCCCAGTCATCATTAGCCCGGCAATGCTTAGTGCGTTCATTATACGTCTAACACCTACACGCGTTGTAAATAGCCGCCTTAGTCATGCAGTGTCCGGCGGGCTAATCTCTGACCGCTTGTGTCCACAGCGGCACACGAGCGGACCGTTGTTTGCCCGCCGCTCGGGCCGCCGCCCCCGCGTGTCCGGTTAAACTCAACAAGGCCAGGCCCTGCCGACGGATTAGACAGATTTCGGCGCCGATTTTTACAATGTCGAGAGAAATTTCGAGCGCGCCGCAGAGAAACGAGGCAATTTCGCAAGTCCGCTAATGAGTGCGTGCGTACAATGGTCGTCGACTCTCCCCCACCCCCACCCCCGGGTCCACCGCGCCTACTCAATACGGCCAACTACGCACGGCTCGGCATTCTCATGCTAACGAAGTGGGAAATCACCGCGGTCAGTTGACAAAATTACGGCCACGGGGAGAAAGTGAAATGTGCAAGACGCGCACAATCGCCGAATTTGAATGATAATTCGTAATTGGCGGTGCAAATAAAACCCGAGAGGGCCACTCAAACACTCAGGGCCGCGTCGGACTGAGGGTCAGCCTGCGTGCAGCAGTAGCGGTATGTAGCGGCAGGTGCGCGGCCCTCAACAACTAACCCGCAAACATCCATCAGGTACCACGATGGCAAATCCGCCAATCAGCGCTGGGATAGGTTAGAGAATGAGTTCCTTTTTGAGTGTCTACATGCGCTAGAATTTGTATTTCTTATTAGCAAAGATTATAACTGTTTGCAATTGTTAATTTCAGAAACTAGATTTTTTTCTGAATCCGACAGTGTAAACGGCTCGTCCGAGGTGCGTTTCTGGGCCGGCCCATAAATTTCCAAAGAAAGCCTACTTTTTGTGCGAATTCCAGTGGTAAATTGGCTATTTCTCGTGTGCGCTGGAAAATTTTTGTTTACAAGAGAAATTATGGAAGAATTTTTTTGTTAATAACATATATATTGTCACTTGCGACGTGTATTCAGAGAATGGCATTATTATTTGTAAAAAAAACTCTTGCTGATTTATGGGAATTCTGTCGTAAGTATGGCCACCTATGGGAAAGTATTTCCAGGCGATACCATCAACTCCCACGGCGCGGCGCACGCGAGCAATTCCGACAC